GAGACTTTCTGCATTGAGAATCTCAACATGGTAAGTTTGAACTCAAAGTTTTATCCATTTACTAAATAAGTTAACTCAAAGGTTCATCCATTTGATTTGAGAGTTCCATGACTTTTTGCCTGTGTTTTCTATAATTTTTTGCCAGTTTAATTTGATAGTTCTGACATTTTGCCTCTTAAATTTAATTTTATTTTTTGTACTATTTTTTGAACTCATCGAGCTCGTCTCTTGAATTACTCAAACAGCTTTTGTTTGCCAAGTAAGCCCTTGTTTGAAACTAATTTTTTTGAAATCACTTTTTCCCCACTAATTTTCAGCCACACATTAAAAAAATAAATAAATAAATTCTCATAATTTTTCCTTACTTTTTAACTATGCATTCTACAAAAAATCACTTTCCAGAAAATCACTTCATAGTTCACACAAGGCTTACTATAATATGTTTATATACTCCAAAACATGCTTTAAAGCTAGAAATATAGGGGTTAATACCCTAAAAAGTCACCGAACTTTGTCAAAAGTTCTCAAGAGGTCACTGAATTTCAAAAATTTCTTAAATAGTCACTGAACTTTGCAAAAAGTTCTTAGGAGATCATTGAACTTCAAAACTTCCATAAATAATCACCGAACTTTGCTAAAAATTTCCTAAATAGTTACTCAACTTTGTAAAAAGTTCCCAATGAGCCACTGAACCATTGATGCATGGGGTCTCAATTTGCAAAATTCGATGACCTCTTGAGAAGTTTTAGCAAAGTTCGGTTACTATATAGGGAAGTTTTGAAGTTCAGTGACCTTCTAGGAACTAATTGTAAAGTTCAGTGACTATTTTGGGGAAGTTTTAAAGTTCGGTGACTTTCTGAGAACTTTTGACAAAGTTCAGTGACTATTTAGAGTATTAACCCAGAAATATAGTGAGTTGAACTTAGCATTTTATTTATGTCTATTTCCCCAATAAGTTAGTGGACCACAAAAAAGCCTACATTCTTCACCTTGGTCCACATAACATGTATACTTTCTGGATTGCGAATTTGCACATGGAAGGCTATTCATTATCATCCCCCACTAACTGTAAGAAAAATTAACCCGTATCAATATACAACAAAGATAAACATAATATAAATTTTCCTACAGGCAGAATTTTTGTTCCCATATTAGAGAGATTCTTGTCAGTATGAATCTTAACAAGTTC